ATACCTCCAACAAAATTGCTAAATGCATCGGAATACTCTATAAAGCAAGAAATATATTAAGTAAACACCAGTTAACACAATTATATTATTCATTTATACATTGTCATATAAACTACGCGAATATTATATGGGGAAGCACTCACAGAGCAAAGCTAAAATCTCTTTACCTTCATCAGAAACACGCAACTCGCGTAATAAATTTTAAAAATCGGTTTTTTCACACGAAACAACTTTTTAAAGAAATGAATATTTTAAATGTATATCAACTAAATGTCTTTAATATTTTATGTTTCATGTTTAAATGTAGAGAAAATTTGTCGCCAAATGTGTTACAAAATTTTTATTGTATGAAACCTAAAAACAAATATAATTTTCGAATTAATAACAGTCTTATTGCCCCTTTTTGTCGTAAAAGCAAAGACCAGTTTTTTGTTTCTTACCGAGGTCCTTATCTCTGGAACAAAATAGTCTTACCAAATTTTGATTTTTCAACCCAAATGACTTTTGCTTCATTCAAACAGAAACTTAAAAAAACTATATTTTTAATTGAAAATATCTTGATTTATTTTTAATTGTCTTTTTTTTTTTCTTTTGTTTTTGTTGTTGTTTTATTTTGTATATTATTTGGTTTAAAATTTTATCTTGACTTTTTAACATTTTATCTTGGTTTTTAAATATTTTTGTATAGTAATATTTTTGTATTATTATTTCACTACAGACATTGTATTTTTATTAAAAGTTAACCATATATTGTAAAGGGTTTCATGACAAGATCCTCATGATCTTCTAGAAGTCCTGTCGTTACTAATGTAAAAAATTGTAAAATATATTTAGTTATTGTAATATTAAACAGCAAATAAAAAAAAAAAAAAAAAAAAAAAAAAATCGTTATAAAGTGTTAATAGTTTAATAAGTTTATCCAATTTCGAGCTTTTCATGTTTGTTTCTGAGCAGAAATTTTGCTTAAGATAAACGCAGGTTTTCTTTATACAGAAAGCATAAAGAAATTACTTCATAAGACAACATCGTGCAAATTTTATTTAATAAAACGTTTTGCTCTAAAGCCATTCGTACATAATAACAAATGTCAGACATCATAAATAGGTCACTTTGAGAACTTAAAATAACCTAACTGCAAAACACTTATGCAATTTATCGGCTTTTTATCCAATTTTTTTAAGTTACACATTTAACTTTTTAACTAGATCCAGATCAGATTAGGCGGATTGACCACTTAGTTCCATATTACTTTAGGCATAATTTTAGTTTCGTTAGTTAAGGCGATAAAAAATACACACCTCGTACCGAGATTAGGTTAGTCAAAACTTATTTCGCCTAATGCATGAAAAAGCCATTTGCCTAATCATAGTTTGTAACACTCCCACGCTTATCATAGTTAAGTTAGTCGTTAGCAACGCCAAAACCATGAATAATAAAAAATGCCCGATGGAACTTTAAAATGTAAAATAAATTATTACATCTTAATTTACATCTTAATAGTAATATAATATTTTTCCTTAGGCGGCCGCCTGATATGCCGTACCATAGATCCGCCCCTGATATATATATATATATATATATATATATATATATATATATATATATATATATATATATATATATATATATATATATATATATATATTAGGGTTATGACTTTTTATCAACCCCATGCTCCTGTGTTATAGCTTGATAAACTTTTACCTAAAAAGCACGAAATGAACTATTATTTTCATATCTTTTCAAAAAATTTCACCCCACCATTGAAAAATTGATTTTGACATAAGTGCTGCTATGTATTCAAATTTATTTAGAATGTCATAGTGATGTAATACAATAAATTGTATTATATGAATATGACATTTAATAATTAAAATGAAGGCAAGGATAGTATCTTCCTTCAGCTTGATTGCCTCTTAGATTGTTGACTTTAAATAGCTGATTGACATGGAGTTAGGATGTCAATCCTTTCACGAGCCAATTGATTGCACATGTTAGCAGCTTTGTTTGTTAATACACTTGTGGAGGTTACTAAGTTGACCGCAATTTTTCTTTTATGATGTTTTCTGCTTGGTTTAGGAGTTGTCTCATCATCTTCATTTTTGTTTTCATATTCACTGTCGTCAGCTTCAGAATTACTAAAACTAAGATAGTAAGATGACAAGTTGGATAACTCATTAGAAAGTTTTTGTCTTTTAGAGGGATGGATTGTTTCTTTACTGGCCGCTTGACCTGTAGGGTATTCCGCTGTTCCTTTGCTTTACGCTTGGAGATGGTACGATCTCTTGTTTTCGGAAGATAACCATGGTTCCATCCAATTTAGTAATATTAAAAATTTCATTAAGGAATTTGTAGCTTCCCCGCTTGACATATTCATCATAACATTTCAGTATTTTATCAAGCTTTGCTCGTATAACTTGATCAGATACATGAGGAAAGTTAAGTTTATTCTTCCTCAATTTGGTAACTTCTTTTGAAATTTCCGCTATTCGCTTCTTTCTTCCTTTGATTTTTGATCTAAGGAAATTTTTTCGCCCGATAATTTGCTTTTGGAGAGGCATTATGTACTTTTCTTCCAGTGAATATTCTTACAAAGAGACCATTATTCTTCTTATATGAGAGCTTTTAAATTTTTCCCGATTAATGGTCCAGACAACCTTGTTCTTCTGAATGCTACTATCGCTAGGCTTGTACAACGCCATGCGTTGCTTCTGTAATAACTATAAAATTGGATGAGCGGCTATATATAGTCTAAAATGTTCTAGAATATTCCAGAATGTTTTAAATTGTTCTAGAATGTGCAAAAATATTTTAAATTATTCTAGAATGTTTTAAATTGTTCTAGAATGCTCTAAAGCCTTCTGAAATATTCAGTTATTTTCCAAAATGTTCTAAAGTTCTAAACACTTCTAATCTATACAAGTTTTAAATGAGTAGCAGTAACAAGATTAAAACGTATTAGTAGTAGCAGTAACAAGATTAAAAAAATGACGAAACGTAATTTGAATTGCTGGGTGACCCTTTTTTACAACCGAGAGGAATTGAACATGTTTTCAATGTTTTCTAATAAAAGTTCATTGATTTATAACACAGGAAATTAATTTTTTTAAAAAAGGTAAAAAGTCATAATCGTAATATATATATATATATATATATATATATATATATATATATATATATATATATATATATATATATATATATATATATATATATATATATATATATATATATATATATATATATATATATATATATATAAGAACGTTTTGTAACATAAATCAGCACAAATATTTAAAAATATTTCATGGTACTTTTTACGAAGAGATCTTTCCAAAGAATTTCATTGATAGAGTTGTTTCCAACTGTGTTATTTCCGAGTTTATAGTTAGAAGTAGATTTCCCCTAAGTTGACATTGTGTAGATTAAGTTGACATTGTGTAGTTTTTTTTTAATAATAGTTCGAATTAAGTATTTGGCGTCCTCGTGTTTCCTAAAGGTGGATTATAATGGGTTTCATTTATGCGTTCTTGTATTTCGGTTAAAATGAAACCTAAAATATTACCACTTTTATTTAAATCTGTATTACTTGTTGGTGATATAACTGCTTATTGTAAGTAATTGTCATTTATGTGTTCAACAAACCTGATTGAGTATTTATCTTATTTTTTCATGGTTTGAATATTATTTTTTCTAAATTGGGGTAGTTAAAATCTCTTGAAATTAGCTAACTGGGTCTGTTTTAATTAGTTTTATTTTTAGCTGCTTCTATTTATTTACAGATATATTTTTTTGTCGCTTCAAACATTAGGTGCATTAGGTGACCAATAAATAAAGCCAATTAAATTTTTTTAATTTTTATGCTTAAAATACACCAAAACTGTTTAATGCAATGGTCTTCAGTAAAATTATAAGCTAGTAAATGAACTACAAAACTTTCTTTTGTATAGACAGAAACACCTCTCCCATTTTTTTAAATTGAGTTTCTATTTGATTTATTATTATGAATAATTTAATAACCATTTACATGGATAGATGAACTTTTATTAAATCAAGTTTCGGTTATCGTGTAGATATCAGGTTTAAAAGTCGCAACAACAAGTCTAATAAAAAAAAGTCAGCTTATTTTTTATTGATGTAGCATTTGTATATCTACAATTAAGATAACTTTTATTCATTAATATAATTTGTTTGTTGGCAATTGCACAAGCAATTAGAGATTTCGTAACCTTCATGGTCAGTACCTGTGCATCATATGGTACATTGCTACATATTGTGTGAGGAATTTATATAGCGACTTTGCTTTGGAACTCTCTAGATAACAATACAATGTTAGGTAAATGTCTAGTGAGTTTCAAAAGACACAATAAAATTGGTAAGGGCAAAAATTGTTTATTGGAATTTGTCTCTCTTTTTTTTTTAATTATGTCGTACTTTATATGTTTTTTTTTAAACTTTGTTTTTTTATTAATAAATTTCATAAGTTTATCTTTTATAAATTTTTTTTTTACATTTCGTTAAAGATATTTTACGATCAAACGGTTGTTAAGTAATTAACAGTAAATAAAATAATTAACAGTGAATAATATAACTAATGGTAACTAAATTAATTAACGGTAAATAACGTATTTAATGGTAAATAAAGTAATAAACGGTAAATAAAATAATCAACGGTAAATAATATAATCAATGGTAAATAAAGTAATTAACGGTAAATTTGAATAATTAACGGTAGAGAATATAAATAATGGTAAATAAAGTAATTAACGGTAAATAAAGTAATTAACGGTAAATAAAGTAATTAACGGTAATAAAAATAATCAGCGGTAAATAATATGATTAATGGTAAATAAACTAATTAACGGTAAATAAAGTAATTAACGGTAAATAAAATAATCAACGGTAAATGAAATAGTTAACATAAATAAAATAACTAACAGTAAATAAAGTTTTTAAATTAATCAGAATACTCGAATGTAAATAAAATAAAATAAAACAACTTTTAACTGGTTCAATTATATTTTATTAATAAAAGTAACTGATACTTATCCCATAGAAAACATGTCATTTTCATGAAATAAAAATATTATTAAATGGTTGGTCACTACTGTTTATTTGAAACGTGCATCTTGTTTTTTCTGATATAACTTCTAAGTTTTCTTTGGCTAAAATAATCTTGCTATTTTGTGGAAAAATAACTTTCATATCTTTAAAATGCAATATGTGTTCACAAGTTTTGTCATAAACAACGCAATTAGCATCTTGATGACTTGTGTTGTGGTAAATTTTATCAGAGATTATGCGAGGGGATGTGCTGGTGTAGGAAATATTATCGTTCAGGTCAGTCTGGATTTGCTTCGAAGAAATTTCAGTATCTTCTTTTTTGCAAGTTAAACTATCCATAATATTACTGGTCGATTTATCGAAAGACTTTTTTTTTCCAGCAGTCATGCTATGATTAATCAATTGTGTATTGGTTGCGAGTTGTGTATTGCACTCATTTCCTATTTTTAAAATGGTTTTATGAGTTGAATTCTCATTAAATAAATTTTTATTGCGTCTTAAAGTAAAAAAGTTTGAAATCTTTTTATAAGTAGATGTTTTTTCATTTTCGCAAGTTTCATCATAGTTATCTTGAAAAGAATGGACCAGGTTGTTTAGCCTTGGTTCATCAGTTGTTTTTTTATGCGTTTTAAAAAACTTTAATAAACTGTTAAATTTTTCAGTTTTATTTTGATACTCAGAATTCCATTCAGCCGCGTGAATATCTCCTGTGGATACAGATCGCTTAAAAGTTAGAGGCTTGTGATGATTAGGTCTTAATACTTGATCTATTTTTTCTTCTTTTTTAAATATTTCATTATTTTCTATGGTAATGTTTGAAGTTAATTCAAAACTTTGTTGTTTTTCGTAATGGCTATTTTTATCTCTAACTTCCCCGTTTACATCTTCTATGTTTACACCAGAACCTTTGTCGGAGTTATTTAAGGAAGACAACAAGGACTTATCATTTTTACAATCTTTTGATGCTGCATATTCGCTCTCATAAATTTTGCTTTGGTATTTTTCAGTTAAATGACCGGGTTGTTGCAGTATTATATCTTCAGATATTATTTGGGGGGTTTTAAAAACTTTATTCGATGATAATAAAGAACTTGAAATTTCAATAGTTTTGTTTTCTATCGCAAATAGTTCTGAAGCTATGTTTTTAGAGTGAATCCCGTCATTAATATTTACTGGCTTTGGACTTTGGTTAAACTTTATATCAATATGTCCTACTGATGCAGACCTCTGACGAGATAAAGACTTGTGAGATTTTATTAATTGATCTTTCATTTCTGTGTGTTTTGTGGGTTCCGTGGTTTCCATTGTATCGTTAGAGCTGAGTTTAATTTTTTGATTGTTTTCATGCATAATTTCTTTAGTTTCAACTTGAGAATTTCCACCGTGGCTATTATAAAAGGTGGACGGCAATGGTAATGACGTTGAAGAGGCTAACGGGGTAATCTTTTCGTTTAGTTCTTTTGAATTCGATGTTGTATATCTTCTTATGTTAACTTTATTTGTAGTTGTTGGAAAGCTTGAAATAGAAGAAGATAACGCTTCAAACACCATTTCAGAGAGAGACAGCTTGCTAAAACTTTAATTTTATGGCATTAAATTACAAATGAATAAAAAAACAAAATTTCTTAGAAAAAAAAAAAAAAAAGAAGTCCTTAAAACTGAAAATCACAAGACTGAAATATGTGAAATACCCGACTAGCCGACTATATTCCTCAAAAACCGGATATAGCTTGCAAATTGCCTTCTTTTTATACACTCCCCTCATTCCATCTATTAACACCGTCGTTAAAAATCATACCAATTTTTTTAAACGGACAATGCAACTTAAGTAAATGTAGCAAGTCTTTTTTATACTTTCTAAATCATTTGAATTTATCGATTACTATAGAAGAAATTTACTCAGTCAAAAAATTTTTTGTGATTAGATTAATTTATTTCTTCTTGAAACAAGATAAAATAAAAACATTCAATAAATTTTATTTCTAAAGACTTCTACGAATTTATGGGTATGACGTTTAAATTAGTTATCATATATTTTTTGCACAAATGCACACAAAAAAAAGTTAGCGTTTGATAATTTTTATGCGTTTTTAAAGTTTTTTAGATTTACTTTATAATAGAAGTTTTTTGATTTTATTTTCAGAGTCTTTTGGTTGGACAGTTTTATTGCTTGGATTTCTTTGAATTAAAGGAAAAAAAAACGTATTAATAAAGCTTGGGGTTCTATGGATCTTCAAATCAATAAGATAAACCATAATAAAAATGACTCCAATATTCAAAATTAGTTTAATACTGATAGTTTGAAGCTTTTTGCATACCTTACAGTTGATAATATTATTTAATATTATTTTTGCGTACCTATTATATATTCCAATGATAATATTACACATACCCATGGTAATATTTTTTTTGCAAACCTAAGTTTTGATAATAACATTTTGCATTCAACTCATCACTATAATATTCTAGTTCTCTCTCTGTATTATTAATGTACCTGTTGTCGCTATCTGTTGACGATTCAGATGCGCAACTCCATATTGATGGACTTTGATTTTGTAATTCCTAAAAAATAATTATATATATATATATATATATATATATATATATATATATATATATATATATATATATATATATATATATATATATATATATATATATATATATATATATATATATATATGTATATTTATGTATATATATATGTATGTATATATACATATAAATATATATATATATATATACATATATATATATATATATATATATATATATATATATTTATTTGTATATATGCATATATATATACATAAATATATATATATATATATATATATATATATATATATATATATATATATATATATATATATATATATGTATATGTATACATATACATATATTAAATTTATTTTAAGCACCAAAAATGTAAATATTTTCGTAAACAAGACAAATTTTTTAATTTTTAAAACCATTTTAATAATAAAAACAATATATGTTTCGAATTTTTAAAATTCAGTGTTCATTAATGGAGATAATAAATCTCTAAGAAATTTGGCTAGTTGGTAGTTATAGGTTCTAATTGATGATACAATGGGTCTAAAGTTTATGGTAGTCTCAGAAGAATATAGTTTATACATCTTTAGAAGTCCATCGATACGAGAAGGATGAGATCCAGACGGATAATTTTGTTATATGTAGAATCAATTAAAAAATCAATTTTTCTACAAAAGATACGTTGATGACATTTGTGCTGCATTTCAGTCAGAAAATGACGACATCTTTTTATTAAATAGACATAATTTTTTTTCTTTTACTCTAGAACAAGAAGTAAAATTGCTTAGTAGAGTTGCTGATACTGTTGCATTAATACGATGTACCGATCTTGAAACCCTAAATGATTCATCGTATAAAATGCAAGCCGCTTGGAACAACTTTTATTATTCTATACTCTATGCTCAAGATATCTGCCAACCATTGAGAACTACAACGCTTGTCAACCCCAAACCTTGGGTGACGCCGTTTATTCAGAGCTCTCTTAATGATCATCAGCAACCTTATTTTTCTGATCACTATTCTGAGTGGAAAATACTTGCAAATCGAGTCATCAAACTAATCACCAAAAGAAAAGGTATTTTTAACGGACACTTCTCCTTCGATAAACCAAACTTTTGGCGAGAAGTAAAGCTTGCCAATAAATAATAAATCACTCATTCTATCTCTGAGACATTAGCAAACCAATTGAACAATCATTTCTAAAATGTTTGAAGCAATAAAAAACAACCTAACCTCTCGTTCTTCATCAACCGTCAAGCAGACCTACATATTACCCTCATTTTTACCATTAATATCTTGAATTACAGCTTACTTATCTAATATCTTATAAAAAAATCTTGAATTGCAGCTTACTTATCTAATCGTCGCCAAAGGGTAAAAACAAGTGATCACACCACTGACTAGAAATATATACAAGCCGGAGTACTTCAGGGTAGGGTTTTCGGCCCAATCTTGTTCATTCTCTTTATTTCCGTTATAAATACCTACCTGCCACTTGAAACGATTCTCGAAAAATATGCTGACAACATCCTGACCTACATTATCTATGATAAAGTTCCTGCCAATTTACCTTAATCTATTGTTGATGGTGTAGCTCGATAGTCTGTGGCCAATGGAATGAAACTCAACAGCTCAAAATGTAAAGTTATTAGAACCAATGCCCGGTGATCACTCATGCTCTACTATTCTCCCTCAATAAAACTAAACATGAAATTGTATACAGCCACAAATACCTTGGAATCCTGCTGAGAATCTCGATTGGGATAAACAATGGATAAAAGTGCACAACACTATAAAATCAGTGCCATTTCTACTCAAGCGCCTTAAGCAAATCGGACACACTCAGCCCAACCTACTACAAGTCACAGATCTTACGCTATTAGCCACATGATATATAGTGCTTCTGTTCTTATCTCTTGCAGTCTTGCCGAAAAAAAAGAGATACAACATTTCCAAAAAATGCCTAATACATCATCGGAGTTGATGCAACCAACTCAAGCCGTCTTAATATTTGTTTTGGCATTGAAGAATTACTAGACAAGACCTGTATTAATATCCTTAAAAGATCCTTGCAGACACAAACCATCCGATAACAACTAAATTACCTCGCACCAATTACAGAAACCCCAACAGATTCCCATTTGCTCTAAATACCGCAATCACTACAACTTATCAGCAGACCTCTACCTCCCACGAAACATTGGCTGCTTTTTTAACATATAAATAATCATTCTTTTTCCTGCGTTCATTTTTAAATTTTACGCATATTTAACAATAGATAAAGTTGTACAATTCATTATTTGTAATCATAATCAATTTTAAATAAAGATTTATAAAATAAAATAAAATGAAAATAAATTCAAAAATATATTTTTTAGAC